CGAAACAGTTAAATCTCAGCTCAGCAACAAATTAACTCCAAATCCAATTTCGGTTTTATGAATATGTTGAATTGTTTTGCTGATTTAATTTTTTTTTTTTTTAAGAAAAAAAGAAAATGAATAAATCTTCGTTTAAGTACACAGTGCTCGCGGCAAATGGAGAAATTAATGCGAAAGCAAAGAAAAAGTAAATTTTTAATTTAAATAATAGTACACTATTTTTGTTTGCTTGTAATTAGTATTCGTCTGAAACCTTAATTATTTTTTCATGCAAATATAAATTCGCACTAGCATGAAGAAAGTTTCACAGGGTGTCACACAAATTAAAGCGAATGAATCAAGCAAATGATACAGTGAGTCAAATTATTTAATTTCCCATACACATGCGCACTGAGTGAACTTACAATTAGTAAAAGCGCTACCACAAATAACGAACGCCAAGAATTTAGCGAGCTTAAGTTTTCCAACTGCAAATAGAACACCCCCCAATGTCCTTTTTACTAGGCGAAAGTCACTTACAAATTTTTCTTCAGTACGTTTACTTATTTGGGGCGAGTAGCCATGCACATATACCCGTACAAATTTGCGTCAGTGTGTATACGTTTGTTTGCGTCTGATGGCAGTCACTTGAACTTTGTGGGAGGATTTCACGTGCGCGCAACCGAACCGAACAAAGTTATGGTTAATGCTGAACTGAATTTAGCGAAATTAAAATTTCAGTCAGGCGGCGAATGTTACGATGCATTGGTTGCTTCTCTTTTACCATCGCCACCAACGACGACGACGACGACGACGACAACACCACTCGGTCAACGTCAAAAGCGCCAAAAAAGACAGTCACCAAAACAATGTAAAATATATGCAAGCAATCGAAAAGAAACCAAAACCAAGATTGTGGCAAAAAGAAGGTGATGAAAGCGCAACAGCGACAAGTTGCGCATGCGCAGCGTCGTAGTTGTAGCAAACGCAGTCGTTGCCGACACTGCCAATGCGTGGCGCTAACTTAGACACGAACTGAGTGAAGTGGAGCTGAACTGTTATTGATTGCTTGTTGGCGGTTTGCGCTCGCTGCGGTGGTCGCTCTGGCGCAGTGCGGAAGAGCAACATTCACAAGACGCCTGATGGCAGCCACAGCACTGTGGCCTCTTCAAAATCCAACGGAGGGTTGGACAAGTGAGCGCGCTAGCAGTAAAAGTGTTAGCAGTCGCGCCGCTGTAGCGGTCGAGCACCAACGCTGGTCATGCTGTGCTAGCGTGTTTTTAGATTCAACACATTGCTGTTGCAGATGCGCAGGTTGCGCGCAAAAGCAATTCACCATGACTATATTTGTTTTGCTAAATGCTACACTTATTCACCACAGTGTGCACAGCTGATAGCTTATTTGAAGGCGGATTTGGTAAATATGCATTTTAGATGCATCGCTGCTGTTGTCACTGTGCTTTGTTTTTTTCTTTACTTATCTTTGCTTTTGCATTGCAAGTGGAATATGTTTTGGATATGATTACATAAACGCTTGTTGTGGTTCCATCTTCTACTCACTTCAAAAGCTAATACTTCACATTTGTGAAATGTAAAATAAAGGTGAGGTGTTGGCGAAGTATAAGAAAGGAATGTATGGTTTATTGCTTACGGAATTTGCTTTAAGTGGCGAAATTATTATTCTAAACATATTCTACGAAGGTAAGAAACTTTAAATTCAAGCTTATTAAATTGCAAAAATTGAGCGTTCACAGAAATTGGCTTCACGTCATCTGAGCTAGAATTGCTGCAAAAACTATTATAAGTTTCTGCTCCACATTTTATATGCGAGAGCATTTATTAAAGCATTCAGGATCAGCGAGTTGCTGAAAAAAAAATAAATAATAGTTGACTTCCCGAATTTCATTTTGTCCCAGGATTATGATGCATTCCGTAAACTTGATAATCAAGCTGAAAAGTTAGCTTCCTCATTTAGATGAAAACAAAAGACTTAAGCAGCGAACTTCATTTAGATTGCTATCACCCCTATGCTGCAAAACTTTCGTATTCGGATTTTGCTACGAATAGTAAAAATGGTATGCTGCAACCCTAATCGTATTTTCGACCTTCCTAAATTCGTTACAATGATATGCTTGGATAGGAACAAGTAAGAAATAGACAGCTCCTTTGCGTAGTTTTGTACGAAAAGAATTTTGTATCAGAAGCGAGATGAAAATTGAACAAAAAGTTGTAAGTTTATGCGTTTATGTTTTCAAGAAATATTAGTGTTGTTCTTTTAAACAGATAAATTTGCCTTTTACACAAGCATCTACATTTATCCACTGCTTTAAATGAACGCACAAAAAATATTGTTTTTTGACCCTTATCGAGAAATTTTTATTCTCATACACAAAAATTAAAATTGAATTAAATTAAAATAAATGGTACCTCCGAAGTATGCGTTTATAGCGTTTAAGCGGTGTTATAAACTTAAACACTTTATAAGATTTGTATTGATTTTAAATCATTAGATGAGTACCCCTATTGTTTTTATTTTACGAATTGGTAGCAAATGCAAAAGGAGGACTGATATCACACACGGGTTTGCAAAAGGTGCCAAGAAGGAGTTTCCGAGTTTTTGGGATAAGGCCGGAGCGGAATTAAAAAGCTTAGGACCACCAACGAAAGAAGTAGCAGCTTCGATAAATAAGTAAGTTAAACATTAACACAGCAATAAGGTATTAATATCACATTTTTATCAAGTATTCCGCAGACTAAAAATGCTATATAAAACGAAAGTTAAGATCCAATAAGGCAGAGACAAACGCAACTGGTGGTGGACCTAACAAAATGCATATTTTCAATCGAAGCTTCGAAAAAGCTGGTATAATATATATATTAACTGAATTGAGGTTCAGTTCTTCAGGCATAGTGGGAGTTATGGCCAGTGTTTCAACAATTCAAGCAGAAGCTGACATAGGCGCGTTCATGGTTATTAATGCCCGACAGTTCCGCATACCTTTGAGAATTCATTTCTATAGCGCGCTCTTCCGCCGCTGCTATAATTGAAAATGCCATAGAATCCATCATTTTCCTCAAAATATGTAAAATTAAACAATCTTAAGTATTATAAATAAGCACTTGATTAGTGTTTTTTTAATTCATTTTCACTTCCATTTCCGTCTTGCAGCCATCTTCGAAAAACAACAATGCTGCACATGTTTCCGCAAGGGTTGCAGTATGTCGATATTTCGTTTTTCGCAACGTAGCTATGAATTACGAATTATGAAAATTCGCCTTCTAGCATAAGGCTGTATATCTTTCTTATTAAATAGAGTCCAACCCGGATAACACACAAAGTTTTATACGGGTTTTATAACGATTTACTTGAGCAAAACTGAAGAGCCCCAGAAGTCGGACTTCGTAGTGTAAAATTTTGCTCTATTAGTAGTTTATAAATTGTATGGGAGTTTTATAAGGATCTATGAGTTTATAAAACTTTTAAAAGTTTTATAAGGCACCCTATGTATAGCCTTTGCTCTGACACTGATCACAGTGATTCCTTTTTTTAGACTAAAAGCATTATATGAAAATAACTTTCGATAGATCAATATATCTGAACTGATACATTTCTCTTTTCCTGAAAGCTGGCTCTTTATGGGCCATTATCTGTCAGCTATTTGAGAAGGTTGGACGGCCTTGTTTTTCCTGCCCTTAAAGGAGTCCTACGTTGAAAAAAACCCAAAGATTTAACAGCGTTCTGGTAATGTTATCAGGTAAATAATTTTTTGTATGTCACCTTAAGAAATCCTGAAGGGGCTTATACTTCTATGATAAGACTCATAATCAGCTATGCATCTGTGGTGTAGTGGAGCGGACCCTCAATCAGTAGCTTACCAAACTTCAAAGAACGATCGAAGTGTACTGCACATGAGCTTTGCTCTTCCTGATTGTGTCCCTTGTGGGCAGGTACTCATAAAATGAAAATTTATAAGGCAATTTTCACACATACAAACAAAACTTCCTTTTATTCTGAAAAATTTTAGAGCTGCGGATATTTTGTGTGTTGCAGTAAAGGGGTAATAGGCAATAATTTAATTTATTACAAATTTTAATTAATTAAAAAAAATGTAATTTTAAAAGAACTTACTTTTTTCCGTCATTCACCAAATTAGTTTACACATTTACTTATTTATTTCGCAGACAATCTTCTTTACTTTTCAATTTCATATTTTGTTTTCTATCTTTGTGTTTTATGTCACTATTCATTTGTTCGCTTCATATACTTTCAGCTGTTTTAATTAAAATGCATGTTGTGCACTTGACGTGATATATCTTTTCCACTTTTTAGGCCCTCCACTTCAGTTTAAGTGAAAGAGTTTACCTACGAACTGAAGTGTCAGTGACAGGAGACAGCATTATATTTGCTACAAACATACTAAATAGTACATATATTTACATACAAATTTACGTAGTATTTAGTACTTACGTTTACTCTTACAACGCAGCAACCTAGAAAGGTGTCGCGAAATAAATACATATTTCCATGTGCGCCCTAAATTTGCTTTTAAGGTTGCATTTTTGTTTTTTTGTTTTTTGTTGTGTAGTAATAAGTACCTACTAATACTAACCAATAATTTTAGTGTGCGACGTATGAAATTGGTGCGCCTACAACGAGCTGCTGCTGCTATGTTTGAGCGAAGTCTTGACATAAACAGTTCCCGACCGATAACTACGTTCATACTAGAGATGTGACGGATATCCGGTAACTATCCGGTTTGCCGGATATCCGGCCTAAATTTACTATTCGGCCGGATACCGGATAATGAGCTACTATCCGGTATCTGGCCGGCCGGATATTTTCTTAGAATTATTATAAGCAAATAATTTTTTTTAAGTAACTAACAATAAAATAGCTTTTATTTAAAGGTAAAAAAGTAACAAAAAATTACAAATTATCTTTCAAAAACTTAAAATACGTTTTGAGATATTCACTTTACTGAAAAATTTATGTATAAACTAAAAACTTAAAAAACGTCCAATTAAGAAAACGATTGACATTAATACTCAAAATTAAGAAGAGGTAGATTATGGTGAATAAAAACTAAATTTTCAGCGTTCGCAGACAATAAACGATTTCGCTTGTTTTCGTAAACCAAGCCAGCTTCCGAAAAAAGTCTTTCGCTATAAACGCTGCTGCAAGGAGCTGAAAGGAACGTTTTGGCAAGCGACGTTAAAATTGGGTATTTTTTGGAGTTAAACGACCACCAAGCGTAAGGATCCTGACTGCGATCAATTCGAACTTCCTTCAAGAAGAATTCAATCTCGGTAGCAATTGGGTTCTTCTCATGATCGCGAGACTGAATGTTGTTTTCATCTGCCACTTCATTAAAGCAATCCCAAAATGTTTCGTGAGATTCACGAGCTACATTTGAATGAGTTTCATTTAATCGTAACTGTTTAGGTCTAGTTGAAGACGTCGATGAACAACTACTGATGGAAGACGTGTCGCAAGTCATTTTTAAGTGTTCCAATAAAATAGTCTGTCGAGCTCTTTCAGCTTCAACTTTTCCCAAAAAGTTAGCCTTAAATCTGGGATCCAGAAAAGTTGCAATAAGGTATTTTGGATCTTCACTTAAGGAAATAAAACGAGATGCCAATTGCGCTTTTAAGGAGGCTCTCATATTAAGTAAATCGGCTGTTCGTCGTACAGTTTCGTCCTTGTCTAAGAATTTTTTTAATGCAGCTACATGCGGTATAACTTCAGATATGCAGGAGAGGCCAGAACTTGTAATTTTAGTTATTTCTTCAAACGGCTTCAAAAGTTGTACACACTGCTCCATCAAACACCACTGACGAGTTGTTAGATTAGTAAGTGTGTCGTTTTCAGACACATAAAGGGAGATAACACGTTTTTGTTCCAATAAGCGTTCCACCATATAGAAAGTGGAATTCCACCTCGTGTTTATATCTTGCACCAATTGATGCTCTGGTAAACATAGTTCTTTTTGAAGCGCCAGTAATTTTTCTTTTGCTAAACCTGAATGATTGAAGTGAGTTACGATACGTCTACCTTTGGCAATCAAGTCCATTACTTCAGGTTGTACTTTCAAAGACTCAAGCACAACCCTCTGAAGCGAATGAATGAAACACCTGGCGGAATCATACTGCGCCATTCGAACGCCTTTGACCATGTTTGCGCCACTGTCATGAACAAGAACATGTATTTTGCTTTGTTCAATATCCCAGCGAGATGCAATACTATTGAGTTCATTTGCTATGTTTTCTCCTGTGTGAGATCCTGAAAACGGTTTCATAGCTATAACTCCGTGTTGAAGTTTAAATTCTGCAGAAAGCCAATGAGCTGTGAAACTCAGAAAGCTGGAGTTATTGCGCAAACACGTCCACATGTCGGAAGTGACAGAAACTGCGACAGCACTTGAAATTCTTATTTGGATTTTTTTGAAAATTCGGTTGTAAATATCGGGAACAATTTTTTGGGTCATAAAGGCTCGGCTTGGCAATTCATAGCGTGGTAAAGCTTGCTTAAGTAATCTTGCGAATCCAACTCTTTCAACGACACAAAGTGGCTCATTATCCAGTGCTATCATTTCTGCTATGAGATAATGGTATTTTTTCGCAGTTGCATTATTTATGTCCCAAAGCAGTTTTCTATCGAACGCCTCTGACAAAGTCTGTTGCCTTTCTGTAGAAGAGGAACTTGTACAAGCGTTGACAGGCTCCGCAAGCGACGTAGCTGCGTCGTTATTTTTTTTATCTTTATTCAAATTCATGAATTTTTCTGGGTGCTTTAATTTCAAATGATTGCTCATAGCAGATGTGCCTGGGGGAAGATTTAAAATTAATAAGTATATGATTCGAAACTTGTAGGTTGTATTCATTAAATAGGCTGCAAAAAAAAACATTACTCTTACGCACCTGCTTTTTTCCCTTCAAAACGAGAAATTGGTAGTTTGCACAATAAACAAATAGCAAACTTATTATTTTCACTTTTAATTTCAAAATATTGCCAAATAGGCGATTTTCTTTTCATTGAAGACATGTTCTCTGCTCTTTTCGTACAAATTATGAAGTTAAATAATTGAAACAATCAGCTGTTGATTTTCAGTAATGCCAGATTTTAATTTGTTGATTTTCAGTATTGCCAGACTGCAGTACGTTATTTTCCAAAGATAACTGACATCGATCCATCCGTTTATTGTCGTTTATTGCTTGCCGAACTAGAAATAATGAAATCTTTAATTTAATATCCGGCCGCCGGATATTCGGCTATCCGGCCTCGCATCTTGCCGGATATCCGGTATCCGGTTATCCGGCCAAATCTCTATCCGTCACATCTCTAGTACATACATATGTATGCTATTACAAACAAAATAACATATATACGTGCATAAGTATTTATTTGAATAAAATTTCAAAAATTGCTGATTTGATTTGTATTGTAATTGGTTTTTTTTTTCAATGAAAAGCTGGAATGCTCATTACATTACCAATGCGTGAAACATTACCATTTCTATTTAAAGTTATCTCCATAAATATGTATGTAGGTGTCTGCTTATTTGATTTTCGGTGTAAGTATTTAGGTATTTCAAAACTGAATTTAGTTATTAACATACAAAGCCAACAAATAGATTACATAATTTATTAAACCAAGATTAGTAAGTTGTGCTTAATTAAGTCGTTATCATATCTCGATGCCATAAAAAATAAAAAAAAATTGAAATTTGAAAATTCCAAATTTTTTATTAGTGTAAATATGTAAAGCTTGCATGAAGTGAAGCGACAAATGAAACTTTTGACTTGTTTAAAGCAACAAAGCATAATTTGACAAAGCAATGTACGACAGCGGCACCAAATTTAAGATATGTAAGCATGTGCAATTTAAATATATTGAGAACCTCCAACACAACCTGGCGAAATAGCTGTGAGGTTTAAATAAACAAACTAAATTTATTTAATTGTATCAATACATACCATTGTTACAAATGCACAATAGTCCAGCGCCCTTACCTTCTTCTTCTTCTTCTTATTTGGCGCTGTAAACACCTAAGCGATTTTGGCCGAGTACAAAACATTGGAAGAGCGCACTGGTTTTGTTTATTTAAATCATTTGTGTATGTGTTTGAGACTTTTAAGCAATTAAATCTTCATTGAACAAATATGAAGCTCCTAGCATTCACAAGAGTCCCCTTGCAGTTCTGTGAATTCGTAACTACTGGTAGGACGACTCGGTCTGGTGCCTCCAATATAACTCCACAGCCAGCTCTAAACTAAATCTCCGAGCAGTGAGATACACTCGAAAGACCTCTCAATATTCTCCAGCTTTAGGCTACCAGACCACTGCAGTGTCTTCCAAGCATAACTCGAGACTATAAAAGAAACTTCACTCATTTCACCACCGCCTTTTTGTCCGTATGACCGACCTAAATGAGGTAGATATTCACGAGTTCTCGCACTTTATGAACCTTACCAACTGGTTCTACTTCTGGGTGAACGGAAGGGTTCGAATTCGAGCTCTTAATTGGTATGACAACAGACCCATTGGGTTTTAGTGTGCTTCTCTCCTAAGTTGGATGAAGGCAGCCGCTTCAACCTAGCCTCAATATCTCGCGCTTGACGGATAACCTCGACCTGGGTAGCTCAAACCGCTGAGTTTTCTTTATAAGAATTAAACACTTTTTACACTAATTTAAAACAATCAATAAACATTCAGAGAAATGGCATTCCATGTCATTGCAGATGCCGTTTTGTTGTCATCCTGCCTAAGCTACTTTATACCTTCCCCATAGTTCAAGTCATGTGCGCAACCGATTGAGACCCATAGAGTCCAAGTAGTTTAAATACTAGCTTCACCAAATCTGGGCAGAATAAGAAAACTGTTGATATGACTTCACCTCATTATATAACATATATTCGCAAGGCGAAGATACCCATCGTACATTGTCCAAGAAATACACATGCCATAATTAAAGGTAGCACAGTATGTGAGCCCGAAGCCCTGATTGCCACATAGAATATGTTTATCTCCCAAGCCGACGTCCCGCTGTTGAGCTATCAATCGACTGTTTATTTGATGGGAACCACGAAGATATGCGTGTTGTCGCTAATCCAGCCAGAGTGGAAATTATCCGCTATGGCTTATTGATTTCTGAAGCCTTCTCCTGTACAACCCAGGTCACGAGGACTTTTTAAAATAATATGGTGTCACAAAGTCAGGAAACAGGATAGGGGCACTATCTCTTATTTATTCCTCTCTTGAGTAATAAAGAGCGGTATTTAAATAGTCTACAAAATATCTGATCGATGTCCCTTTCCGCATCAACTACGTACCAAATAGAACTGCCGACGTAGGGCTGGGTACCGCCGAGCTTGTTGAATACGCTAAGTTGTATTAAGTGCTTCATACTGGGCTTGTCTAAATGGGAAGCGTTGCGCATTTTCCCTCTGACCGGATCCAATACCACTATCAAAGAGGGAGGTAACTAACTGACCACAATATTGACACTGTTTATCAAGCTTCTAATTGATTCTAGCGGCAATTAATTATCTAGGTTTATCGATGGCTCGTCGGAAGCTCTTCAGGTAAAGCTTAACTTCCACATCTATCGCCTGTGAAGAGTTCTCAGCGACATTGCAAATCGATGCTTGGATGATGAACTGACAAAGCAAGGAACCCTTAAGGACGTTGCTGCTGTCGGGCGAGACTTAGAGGTACATTTAAGAATACAGTGACTACTACGTGACAGATGAATTTCGAGGTAAATCATTAGACATCGACTTGAAAAGTCTAAAGCTCTTTCTACCTCACAGAAGTATTTACCGGGAACAACCCTTTGCGGTGAGGCCTTAAAATTCTTCAGAAATAAACTAAATAGATTTTACTGGCCGAATAAAAACTAAGCAATTGCTATTTCATACAATTTCAGACCAGCAAGTTCAAACGAACGCTTTCTTCTATAAACTAGTTTTGGTGCCTTAAATTTTCCTGCAGGGCATTTACTGAATTTTCCTTGTGCATACGCAGTGAAGATCATGCAGCGCAGGCATCGTATGCTTCTGTTATTAGCAATACTTTCTTGTGGTTGTTTCATTGCATGCTTGAAATAGTACGTCACTATTGCTCGAACGGTTTCACTTTTGGTCTTGGCAATTTGTCGGCAGGCACCATTGCTGCTGTACATTACATATTTATTGCTATTGCTTTGGAGACTTTTTTATTAACTTAAATTTTATTTATTAGATTGCCGCTTACATTATTTGTTTTCGACTGACTTTCGATTTCCTTGGCTTAATCGATGAATCAAGCGAACGATTTGTCCACCATGTGACTATAGCGAATCGATTTGCTATTTGCGCTGGAACGGTAGCACTTGAGCACATTTTTTTTTAAGTGTTTTTTTTTTTAACTATTTAGCTGCTATTGTCTATCGCTACTCGGCGCCTTTAAATTGCGAATCTCTGCCTTCTTAGTGTTCCCGCCGTTTGACCCGCCTCCCTGCCACGCGTTTAATTTTATATGGATTTTTTTTGTAGTTTATTTACCTTTTTTACTTTGCTTCTGACTTAATGTAACTTTAATTGCTTTTTAGGGAATCCCATTAGCAAACTGTCACACGCGATAATACATATAAATTGAGTGTCAGCCATTCATTCTTTGTTTACGTTCATTTATATCAACATTTTCTAATTACTAACTATTCGTGATGATTTAAACACAGAAGTTAATAAGTAAAAAACGACGAAGTACCAATAAAAGGGGTATTGAATGACACAAGCATCACAAAAAGAAAGCAAATTCTCACACAATTTTAATATATGGAATGTAGTACTTAAGTACATACCAGGGTTGTTGCGAATATTCGCATTCGCATTCGCAACCGCGGAACTTCCGCATAAATTTTAACATTCGCATTCGCATTCGCAATAATCAATGCTGTAATCCGAAAAGGCAGCAAAATTACTCTTTCTTAAATACAATGATCCAATTCTTGAATTGAAATACTAAATAAAAAAGTATTATTAAAAAAACTTTTCCATTTTTTATTTACCTAAATCCCCTAATGTACTCACCAAAATTACTTCTTAAAAATATTTGACATCCGCATTCGCATTCGCATCCGCGGATGTTAGCTTTTAAACATCCGCATCCGCATTCGCATCCGCGGATCACTAAAATTCCACATTCGCAACATCCCTAGTACATACATATGTATTTGTATATGTAATATTTCATTTAGAAAGCCCTACAAATTACTGCAAATGCTAATAGTTAAAGGTTTATGCACTACTGATCTATGCTGTCTTTCGGACTCTTACTAAATACATACATATGTAACATGCGTACCTACGGAGACCATCCGTCCTGTATTATACAGGACAGGACAGTCCTCTTTTTTGACCCATTGTCCTAGTAATTTGTTTATTTTATACGGGACGCCAAATTTTTTTTATTTCTTTTAATGTCCTGTATTTGTCCTGTATGCGGTGTTTCAACGCCTCAACAGATCATTTGCTTCTCTTTAAAAAAAATGGTCGAATATACTTAATTTGTATGAAAAAAATGCGTAACACAGTCAACGAAAAACATTGCCAAAAATTATTGTTAAGCCTTAGCAACTTAAAATTTCACTTCATTATACTAAAATTTAACGAATTTTTTAAACAAATTTTACGAGGTAAAAATCTCCAGAAAATTATCCTACAAATTCGTTATGTTACTATAAGGATACTGTTTCAGGGCTAATACATCTAGGATCACAAAAGAAGGCTTTCAGATCTGTAAGCTATTGCGGAAAAAATTTGCAAAACTATTTTTTGTTCCGTATTCGGCTCTAATAGTGATGGTTACCTTTATAACACGTGGTGCGGATTTGACTGTCATCGAACGAATGTGAATGAACGATGCCAGCACCGGTTAAAAAGTAAATAAATGAAAGTGTAAATAACTCTACCACACACGATAAAGTTCAAACATACCACACAAAAGAAAATTACATGGAAATCTCATTTCAGTCAGTCTCTCATTTCATTCAGAAAAGAAAAAATTTCCTCGAAACATGCTTAAAAGTGGGAGCGTCATATTATTCTGCATTACAAAATTCTACATCGCACAATTCTACAAAATGTTAAAAAAATTCTTCTCGATAAAAATTCTGTATTT